TGGCTCCGCCCACACGACCCAGCCAATCAGCCTCAAGAGCAAGAGGAGTGGGGGGGGGGGTTGAGAGGCTCACCAGAAGCCAGTGGTGGCAGTTGAGCTCTGAGGGAATTCCTGAAGAGCTTGTGTGGTACTTGGTGAGTGTTCTAAAAATAAAATTCCTTTATGCTTGACAAGTGGCTCCTGAATTGTGCCCAGCCAGACTGCAGCATACACTGTCATGCAATAACACTGAATCCTTTCCTGTTTTATGTTGTGTAGTTGTGCACATCTGCCTTAGTTATCCATCCAATCAAACCACAGATCCTTCAGGACAGAGACAGTGGAAGCTCTAGATTAATCAAGAACCCATAAATTTCAGATTGAAAGCAGTATGGCATGGGCCTCAAAACTAACGTGCATAGGAATAAGTCCACACATATCAGATTCAACAACCCTAAACAGCCTAAGCACCGACTGTTTCGTGTCAGGGCAGAGACGTGTTCATCTTCTCCACTGTACACTGAGCTCCTGGTACAGAATCTGGCACATGAAAGTGGTTAAATTTAGGTGTTGCTTAAAGACCTGGTTCAAGTCCCAGAAATCTTTATTACTAGTTCTATCACCTTGAACAAGTTACCTGACTTCTTGGAGCCTGGTCTTCTCATCTATAAAATGGAAATAACAATACCCACTGTATCTGGTAATTTAAAGTAGTACAGTCAATGTGTCCTGGCCACAGGCTAGGACATTATTTTTCTATAGTATTAAATCATTATCATTTTATAGTATTAAATGCAGGTCCATAATCACATATCAAAAACTCTAGAGACCAAAGTGTTATGATAACAGATTTTGGGGGTGTTGGAAAGATCAGTGTATATAACCCCTTGAACAGAATCAGGGTCAGCACCCACAATCAAATATATTAATATTTTTGCAGTAAAACAGTGCCTTAAGTAGGTAAATAAAGGCTATCAATAGTCTTGTATCAGTTCACTTCAGATCAAATGACAAATGAGTTATGAAAAACACTGGGCTTTCAGAGCTTTTGGGATTTGGGAACTGCAGAGAAGACAGGTAGGACTATATTCACAAAAGTACTGGAGGCCCYCACTAGGCAACTCTGTACCCACTGGGTCATCAAGGTATGAATGCTCACTCTGGTGAGGGTATAAGGCTGCAAGTTACAACACTGCTGCGGGCGATAATAAAGTTGTCAGGATGACTGGGAAAGCTGCTCAGCCTCTCAATTCCCTCCAGGTACCACAGCCCAGGCTGCAGCTCCAAAACAGGTTACTCTTGAATTTTTCATTCCTTTTACCCAAAGGAAAAGGGAGGAGGGATAAACAGGATGGCTAGAGGGCAGTGCGGGAATCTATCTCACTATCTTTCCCCTTCTTCAAGTTTTAAATCAAGGAAAASAAAAAGAGGAGCCCAGATTATTAAGGACAGCCATATTCAAATTTATGGGGGTGGRAGTGTACTTTTATTTTTGATTTCCACATAATCTAAAAAAAGCCTTATGAATGAAAAGTCTCTTGTCTCCTTCCAGGTTCCCGTGGTCACTGTAATAGCACTCCCGTGGTGTGGCCCTGGTGGTATTCTGGAGTATGAGTGTGAGGAATGTATGTGTGAGGAATGACCAATTCCTCAACCCCCAACATGACTTCTACTGCAAGAGAGTCCAAGGTTAGTTCACTAGATTATCAGTGGAAGATTAACAGAATTCAATATGACTCCCAATGAAGTCTGAGTGAGAAAGCTAAGAAAGGCAATATATATAAAGGGGTCCAAAAACAAACTCTAAACTAATGCTCCCACCATTCCCAAATTAGAATCAAATTATTGGCCTTACTACTCTTCTCCCAGATGAATTACTAATGACTCCCACCACTGAAGAAAAACTGCTTACTGCAGAGGTACAAGGTGCTCAATGTTCTAGTGCAGGACCAAAGCAGCTGTAAATCATCGGAGCACTGCCACATCCATCCATTTATATATTCTCTGTTGCTGCTTTTATGATAAAAGGGCCCAAACTGGTTGAATATTTACAAGAATAAACTATATGGCCCACAAGACCTAAAATATTTACCTATCTGGCCTTTGAGAAAAAGTTTGCTGACCCCTGTTCTTATGAAAGAGGACTGGCTAGGAAGTCAGAGAGACCTATATTTAAATCCCAATTCCATAATCACTAGCAGAAATTACTTCCTATTTCTGGGCCTCTGTTACTTCATGTATGATATTAGAATACCACAAGCTGCCCTGCAGGGGTGTCATACAGACTAAATGAGATGAGCCAGATAAAATGTCTTATGCATAAGCAAGGAATAAATGGTAGCTATTAAATCATAATTAATACCACACACAAATTTGTCTATCATGTTAATAAACACTCAAATGTAAAGTTATTCATGCTAYAGCCAAATATTTTGTCAAATAAGACACTGGGCTGGCATTCATCTACCTTCCCTGTTAAGGAATAATACACATAGAGTATATTGCTTTAGAAAGCCAAAATTACTTCACCTCTCTCCTCTTATTCTCTCTTTAGTCCTTAATTTAAAAAAAGAATTCAAGAAGCACAGCCTCAAAGTTTTGTTAATATAAAGCTAATTCCTTCTATTCACACTGTTTAAAAACGCTAAATAAAGCTTAAAATGTACCTCAGAATGAGTGAGAAATCCTGATCTACAATTAAGAGGAAAAAAGGGAGGAGCCCAAAAGAAACGTTTCCAAAGTTTCAAGAAAGCAACCAGCAATACTTGATGAGCAGTGTAGGTTCCTGGGTCCACTCACGTAACCAGTACTTGAAGGCACCTACCGTTCCAGGCCTGGCTGTGGTTGGGAACACAACAGGCTGTCTCCACACCTGGAGAACCTAAAGACCAGGGCTACTCAGCACTGTGTGACATAAGAACCACAGGACATGCTCCTGACTGCAAAACCATCTGTGGTAAGTCATATTAGAACTTGAGGGCTCCTAAGAGATTATCTCACCTAACATCTGTACTGAACAAGCAGGTTCACCGAACTGTCCAAGGTTACAAGAGAGTTCGTAGCAAACCCTGTGTTCCCGATTTGACTTCACAACAAGCTGACTTTGCTTAAGAGTTACTTCTCAACAAGTCAAATCTTAATCTTTTACTTCTCTGTGACCCTGCCAATGATATTCTGGAAAAAGTACCCAATCCTCAAAATCCCAAATTCCTCTAGGCAGGGTGTCACTCCTTGGTTTTTCATTATGTTCTTCTTGTTTTATTATATTGCACACACCATAATTTTGTTCTGTGTACCAATCCTGCCCATTGGCTGAGAGTTCACAACCACTAACACCCAAGTGTTGTGCACGTGGCAGGCATGTGGTAACTTTATATTCACTCCCTTATTTAAGGCTCATAATAACTTGTCCAATATTATAGATTGGGAACTGAGCATGGAGAAGGTACCCACAATGAAACTGAATCTATTAATAAGCATCCATATTACCCCAATACCATCATCAACCTTCTCCTTCCTCACAAGAGTCTGTACATTCAAATACCCTCCCTCCTTCCCACAGCCACATGGAACTTTAGACTGGAAGCTTCTGAGAAAGGTTTCTTCCCATGTAGAAGGCACTCTTAAAATACTCTGTTTCCCTAGACATTGCCTCAACTACTGAAAGAGCTGGGCTTATCTGAAATACTAAATTTCTTCATAGTGATTTTAAGTTTCCTGAGTCTGTTTTTAGTTATTCTCAGCCAAAAGGATCTTAATATGCACACGAATAAAGTAGTGGAGCTGTAATTCAAACAGAGAGAAGGTGACTTCACTGACCTCAAAAATGTAACAACTGGACTCTCTCTGACCTCTCATTTTTAACACTCCTACCATCCAGCACCAGTGCTGAGTTAGGAAAAACGCTCATTAACTTCAGCCAAATGGATTTTAAAAAAAAAATGAAATTTAGCTAAGCTTCCAAAAACCAGGTAGGATAAATTTTATATTCAGTTTTAAATGAAATATTAGGACCCTAGGTAGAAGGTTAGTAGGTCTAAAGCTTCTCTGTTTTTAAACAAGAGGTTTAATGTATTGGGCAAATAGTGTACACTAGAGAAAATAAAGGAATCTTGGCTTATAAGTCCAAACCAATTTCATAAGACTGTGTCAATTAACAAAAGCACCAAAGATTTGGTTTCTCTAAATCCCTTTTACAATGCCTATTGTATCTATTAGCAGTCACACAAATTCTCGATCCTCCTTCCATCTGAGCCTGGTTCCAAGTAGTCCACCTCCTCTGTAAACTGAAAGAGTGTGTGTGGAGTAAGGGGACAGGTGGAAGAGGGGACAGAGGGAGGACACCACTTCCCCACTTCAAGTCTTATCTAGTTTCCATTCATGATAGCTCTTTGACTGGCATAATGATCAATCTTCACAACTCATTTGATGCCCACCTCTACCYCCATCCTCAAGGACACATGAAGAGCCTTAATCTTTAGACCTGAAGGATGTCCTCTCTGCCATTACACATGGATCAAGAGTCCTTGACAACCCATTCTATTTCTGGCCAAGTACCCAGCAGACTTCAAAACAGTGACCAGAGGTAAAATGCTCCACATCCTATTTTCAACTTGATCCCCAAGAGGAAAATCAGTGAAGACACCTGTTAGTCGTGAAGAGCCACTCACCAAGGTCTCATGACTCATTCACTGCAAAACACAAAATACATTTTAATGTCAAGACTACAAATGCTTGTACACATAAAAGCCTCTCCTTATCTCTTCACTTGGCCTTTTCTCAAAGAGCTTAGACAAGAATTTTTTGATCTTCAACCAAAAAAAAAAAAAAAAAAAATCAGAGAAAACTCTACTTGCTCTGGAATCCAGTTTTCAAAAGCCACAACCTGCATGACTGTCTTATTCGAAGTTCAGGAATCATGCTGATTGCTCACAAAGGATATTTTTTTTAGAGACCAATTTTGATCCACCAAGGCAGCCCAGCCACCTTCAAGAGTACCTTCCTTCTATAGCACAGCTTACCTTGTAATTACTAGAGTTCACCCAAGAGGTAGCGAGTCCATCCACAAGCTTATCTAACATGGTCTGATCATGCTCAAGGTCAGCAGACTTCTGTTTATCTGAGAAATAGTCTATAAGTTCCTGGCCAACCTGCAGTCGTTTCCCCACATCCTTTTGCAACACCTGAGCCAGGCAGGACTCCATTCGAGGCTCCATGGTGGAATTCAAATCCAGATCCAGCAAAAGCTAGAGGGCAGTCAGGATGACTCCCTCCCGGTAGACGGACCCGGGAGGTTGCCTCTTTGTTTGCTGAAGGTTACTAAGAGCTTGTGTTTCAAAGATGCAATCCGGGGAATGGTAACAATGCACCATGTGTGTCTGAAGAGCAGCTGGTAGGATATTAAAAGTCCAATTTAAATAACTAGTAGGAGATAAAGGAGTGAGTGGCTGAGTGATGTTCTGCTACTGGGTCTGAAATACTTCATAATTCAGCAGTCCATTCTGAAAAGTAAGAGAAGAGAACAACAAATTAGCACAGATAACATAACACTCAATGTTGTAAAACATTAAATCAAGGACAAAGCAATTCATGCTGTAGAACCATTTATAATCACATGAGGAGTGCAAAGCATGAACACTTGGCAACCATATTGGAGTAATATAATTATTATTTTTATCAGGAAGAACACTGAAGCCCAAAGAAAAGAGCCAACGAGCCACACAGTTSGTAGGTTGATATTTTTCACAATCTCCCAGCTTGTAAATGTACTAGTCAAGAAAGMAATCTTCTGCTTTGTTTATTGGTAGCTTAATTTTGCTCCCCACCAAAAACCTAWCATTACTCTGTGTCTGAATCACTGTAAGTGCTGCAGCTTATGGCATTCCTCTGAATCTTGCAAAAAAATAAGTACCAGAAATGGGACAGGCTCCATAGACACACCACTGATCAAAATCGCCAGCTCGGTTAAATTAACCAAAGCAAAAGGCAGCGCACTTACATCACACTTCTTGCTCAGCACCTTTACAATGGGGGAAGAAGAAACCCCTGCTGCCTCCTCCCCACAAAAAGAAGAGAAAGAAGAAAGGAAAAAAGCACCACAGGTGCAAGTTCTGATCAGTTACTGACAGAGTATTCTCGGTTGACAGAAGCACCATTTGGGTCTGGTGTTTTGTTATAAACTCAGATCCCAAAATCATGTTTGGACAATGCAAAACRCATGATAAGGGAGAAGTACCAAAACTGTGGATTTTTTTCCCCCAGTGCTGGGGATCAAATCCAGAAACTTGTGCATACTAGACAAGCTCTCTACCATTAAGTGGACCCCCTGCACTCCAAAACAGTTTTAACTAGATGTATTATACAATCTATCCAGTAACCTATAGCAAGCAGCTAGTACAATTCTGCACATGCATTTCTTACTTCAATTTCTTCTCTCCTAAAATTATTTGATTCCTTTCATTTTAACATAAGAAGACCCATAGGAAACCCATCTTCAAGATGCAGCACCTCCCTGACAAAATATGAAACAGGAATGTAGAGGGAAGATCTTCAAACACATAAAAGTAGTTATTAATTTTCTTCCAATTTGTGGTCCAAACAATTCCTCCAGTTCCTTCATGAGCTTTTTATATTAGACTAAAGAAGGTATCAATGATATAGGCAAACTGGAGAAACCAACAGAACCTTTTTTTCTGTGCCCAAAATTAGCCTAAATTAATAAATGTCAAGTAGATAGTAGTGGCAGATAAAAAAAAAAAAATGGCCCACAAATTCTTTGCTACTCCTCTCCAACCCAGGTGAAGCCTAAGTCCTCTCCCACAGAGACTTGGGGCTGACCCTGTGAAGCAGGCAGAAGCTCATCAGCAATCYCTAGAGCTGGCCCTCTTAAATGCTCCCTGGGACTGCCATGTTATAAGAAGCTGGTCTAGCAACTAGAGCAAGAGGGGCCATATGGAGAAGAATCAATAGCTCCAACCAACAGTGACTATCAGACATGTTCCCAAGGCCATCTGGGGCCATCTAGCTGTTCTAGTCATCATCGGACAACACCACCACAAATAAATCCTAAGGAAACAAGCAGAGAACACCCAGCCAAACCATAGAACCACGAGAAACAACATTTATTTGTTGTGTCAAGCACTAAGTTTGTGGTGATTTGTTACATAATAGCATAATTCTTACTCTTTCTTCCCCTAAAAAGTTATCTTCCATTGCAATGAAAAGAATCTCACATCTTTCACTCCTCCAAGGGGCCTAAAATCAACAGACATTCACCAACAGTAACACTACTAATGCCATTTTTAAGCATCTCCATGAAGTATCAGGTTCTATGCTAGGCGGTTTCTGCATATTACTTCTGATTCATCAACCAACTCTACAAAGCAGGTGTTAACTTCCCTACTTTATAGATGAAGAAACTGAAGTAAAGTAAGGGTGAGTAATTTTCCAAGGTTACCCGGCCATGTGTCTCCTTACTCTACCCTCAAACCCTTATTATTAGAAATCTGGCCTAGTTCTGTTCTGACTCAGGGAAAGGAGGCCACACTGCTCAGCCAGGAGCCATAGGCCAGAGAGCAGAGCCTTCACTCCTTAAGCAAACACTAGGTGCCTTCAAGCCTCTCCACCGTGGCTTTTTAAATACATATGAGAAAATGTCCCTTTCAATGAAAACGTCCCTTTCAAGGAATGTACACGATTTCCGACAAATATGCTTCTTGAAAGTAATTATACAATAAAAGGTTAACACACTCAAAAGTAAGTCACAAACTCATATGTACAAAGAATGAAAAAGACTGGAAGCTTCAGGCATTAAGCAGACTGGGTTTTTCCAATCAATTAAGCTCGCTCGCTCTCTCTCTCTCTCTCTCTCTCTCTCTCTCTCTCAAAAGAAAAAAAATGGCATTAGTACTGTTACTGTTGGTGAATGTCTAGTCATCCTCTTCAGCATTTATTCTTACCTAACTGGGTGTTTGGGTACCTTTTCCCCATGCTTTTAGTGTTTTCTCCATCTCTACTTTCAAAGATATCCAGGGAATAGTAATCACAGAGTCCAAATTCTCAACATAAAAGAGTACTGGCCCCTGGCTCCCAGACACCTAGCTTCCCTCTCTGAAAGGAAATGTCATTAGTCTCCTGTGTATCCTTTAGAAAGATATTTAGCTTCCCAAGAAAATAAGTATTGTATGTGTTCTCCTTCCTGTATTCCCCAGGAAAAGTTTCCTAAGCATTTACAATTAAATCATAAAAACAGAAATCAAAACCACACAAAAATACAGGCAAAACATCATATAGCAAGAATCTATAAACTTCATATTTGAAAATACATAAAAGTGAGAAAACAAACAAGAAAGAAAAGGAGGAGGAGGAGTTGGAAGAAAAGAAGGACAAGAAGTTGTAGGGGAGGAAGAGGAGTTAGAGAARAAAGGGAGACAGAGTAAAACTCTCTTCCTTCTACCTACATCTTGACCAGACTCTCCACTAGGAAGAGTGAAACAAGGAAAATGAGGTCTGAAATCACCCCACAACTGGCATCATGGAGATGACTGTGTTGAAGCTAAATAAAAGCTGACTTCTCATATGGAAGACATAATGGAAAGCGATGGAATACAGAATAAGTCTCTGCCCTCAGTGAGCTTATGGATAAATGCAGCCCTGTCTACAATCTGACACTCAGCTCTGTCATTATCATTCAAGAGTACTACACAGAGACTTRGAGCAATGGTGACATTAGAAGCTACTCAGAATGTAATGCTACCTCTACATTTAAAAAAAAAAAGAAAAACACATTTTCCAAAAATACAAGAGAGATATAATAAAGTTATGAAACGATAAATGAGGTTAAAATAGCAAAGCACCACTTTTCCTTCTTTATTTATTAGAGTAACTTTTCTCCTTTAGCAAGATCTCTCTATGACGGCTGTAGAACACAAAGGCATTGCACTGGTTACCTGGGAAAAGAGACACATTTCAGGTGCTTCTGGAAAATGTCTCAATTCCTTTCAAATCCAATGGCAACTGCATGAGATCCTCTCATTTGCCAGGCCAACATTCTCTGCCTCTACTACAGGAGTTAAGTTCCAAGCATCTCAACTTTTCCCTGCCACATATCTTCGTTTTTAGGTGCAAACTAATAAAACCTCAAGATCATGATCCTAATCACTCTCCTTCATTGCAACCTTAAAAGTAGAAATTAACCAAGGAACCTTTACAAAACAACAGCCTAACTCTGCTACAGGCCAACAGGAAGATGTTAAAAATTACCAGCATCAACAATAATATGACAGATAAGAAAGATAGCTTAGTGAAATAAAAAGAGCAATAAAGTTAAAAATTCTGGCTTCTTTTCTCCGCTCTGCCACTTYCTGAATGACTTTGGGAAGAATATTGTCTCTATGTGCCCTAAACAAGATCAGGATGGAAAGATTTACACAGGCCATTTTTTAAAAAACAGCTCCTATCTCCATCTCCTTAATTACCATATCTTTTCTGCAGCCCTTAGGTACACCATTAATAAAGAACTATTAACAATGGGGCATTGAGGGTGGGGGGACAAAACCAACTATAAGCTCTGTAACTTCTTAGTGTACTACAGAGTAATTCACAAAAGAAATTAGAAGTAGGACCATTTTCATTTTTACTTGGCAACTTAAAACAGTGATCACTATTTCCGAGTCTATGAGATGGCTGGGCTCAGCTAGGAGATTTCTGTACTAGTCTGACCTGGGAGCATTCTCTGGCTACAGTCACCTGGCAGCTGACTATGGCTGGGGTCTATGAGGGCATCAATCACATGTCTAGGGAACTGATGCTGTTGTTGGCTAGACCTCTCTCCACTGAGAATCTCTAGCCATTCAACACACAGCCTAGACTTGATTACACAGGAGCTATGACTCCAAAATGACCAAAGGGAAGCTGGTAGGCCTCTCAAGGCCTAGGATCCAGATCCTGCACATTACCTCTGTCCTAGTATACTGGTCAAAGCAAGTCACAAGGCCAGGCCTGATTAAAAATGTGAGGAACAAAAAACTAGCAATGGTACCACCACATACCTGGCTATCCCACTCCTTGGAATTCTCCCAAAAGATAAAAAATCAACATACTACAGCAATACAGCCACCTCAATGCTTATAATAGCACAATTCACGATAGCTAAATTATGGAATCAACCCAGATGCCCATCAATAGATGAAGAGATTACAAAATTATGATAGATATATATACATACACACAATGGAGTTCTACTCAGCCATAAAAAAAATAGGAAATTAAGGATGGGCAAGGTGGTATACACCTGTAATTCCTGTGGCCTGGGAGGCTGAGGCAGGAGGATCATGAGTTCAAAGCCAGCCTCAGCAACTTAGTAAGGCCCTCAGCAACTCAGTGAGACCCTGCCTTTAAATAAAATATAAAAAAGGGCTGGGGATGTAGCTCAGTGGTTAAATGCCCCTGGGTTCAATCCCCAGTACACACACACACACACACACACACACACACACACACA